CCAGTCAGAATCATTGAATGCTATTAGACTTAAAGTCTTGTCTGTTTTCTTGTAACACAACTCGTAGACAGCTCTACCTTTTAGGTATCTCAAAACATGTTTAGCAGCTACTAAGTCATCTGTTTTAGGCTTTGCAAGGGTTTGTGACAGTTTACTGACTATCCAGCTAATGTCTGGTCTGGTACAGGTCATTGCATAGATCAAGCTTCCAACAAGTTCACGATATTCTTTGGGGTTCTCAATTTCGTTGTTGTTTTCTTCCTCATTTATATTACACTCCACTTTTAACTCACTTGGGGTAGCTTTTGGTTTACAGTTTGACATTCCAACACTTTCAAGCATTTTGAGGATGTACCTTTTCTGATTCATTTTAATTGTTCCTTCTTTTTGTTCAAACTGAATCCCCAAAAAATAAGATATTTTCCCTAAATCCTTCATGTTAAATTTGGACTTCATTATTTCTTTAAAACTGTTGAGCTGATTGTCACTGCTTGCTGCAATTATTAAATCATCTACCCAGATGATCACTATGATCGTCTCATTTTCAATTTGTTTTCTATACACACAGTGATCAGACTGATTTCTCTCAAAGTTGTTTTGTTCCAAATGATCATTTAAAAGTTTGTACCTGTTTCTTCCAGACTGCTTTAGGCCATACAGGGATTTTTTTTAACTTGCATACTAACTTGTCTCCTATGTCAGATGTTTCTTCAAAACCCTCTGGTTGTTCTAAGTATGTCTTCCTCTATTGGAGCATGTAAGTATGCTGTTTTGACATCCATCTGATGAACTGAGAAATTGTTCTGAGCAGCTATCTGCATTAATGTTCGTACTGAGGTGAGATTTGCTGTAGGAGCAAATGTCTCATGGTAGTCTTTGCCTACAGTTTGGCTGTATCCCTTTGCAACATACCTAGCTTTGAAGATTTTTCCTGTTTCTGCATTTTCTTTAAGGGCCTATACCCCCTTATTGTCTTTCTGCCCTTTGGTAGAGTTGTCAATTCAAATGTGTCATTTTCTTTAAGTGAGTCCATCTCTTCCTTCATAGCATGCTCCCATCCGGGAGCCTCAGGTGACATAAGAGCCTCTCTATAGGTTTGGGGGACTCCACACTGCCCTGTAACAATAATCAACACTCACATTGGTTTTGTCATCTTTGGAGTATGCCAAATAATCTTGTAAATACTTTGGGGCTCTCTTTTCTCTATTTGAGTGGTAATGTTTTTGATTAGCCGTGACTGGACCTGTACTGTCTTTGTTGTCTTCTGTGTCTACTTTTTCTGTAGTTCCATCATGTTCTGACACCTCTGTATTGTCTGAATCAATAATCTCCATGTTTTCATCTAGGACCCTGTTCTCTGTGCTTTCCTCAGTTTTTGGGGCATCACCACTGTTCCCACTATCCTGTGTCCTATACTGTATTTCTAAGTATTCTTCATCGGTTTGTGTCTGTTGTTCACACTGCTCTTCCTAATGAATTTCACCAATCTATGTTTTGACAATTTTTCTGTCTGTGTATTGTATACCAGATAAGCTGGGCTATTTTCACTGTACCCCACAAATAATCCCTTCTCACATCTAGGATCCAATTTCTTATGATTATGTTTGTACGCATAGCATTCTGATCCAAAAACCCACATTTTAGAAAGGTCTGGCTTTCTTCCTGTCAACATAAAGTATGGAGTATTCTTAAATCTGTCATTATAACATCTGTTTCGGATGTGAGTTGCAGTTTGGACAGCATAAGGCCACAGAACTTTTGGTAATCCCTTCTCTATTAGCAGACACCTTCTCATTTCAAAGATGGTTCGCCATTGTCTCTCAGCTGTACCATTTTGATGCGGAGAGTAGGGAGATGACGTATCATGCCTTATACCCTTTTTTTCGTAAGAGTGATTGAAATGCATCGCTTGTGTATTCTGTGCCATTGTCTGATCTTATGCATTTGACTCTACCGTATGGTGCACTGTCTGCAAGGAACTTTTCTGTCGCTAGAGTAGTGTCACTCTTGTTCTTAAGGAAGTAAACAGACACTGCCCCTGAAAAATCATCTGTGAATGAAACTGCATACTTATATCCATCTTGAGAAGTTGGTTCAATGAGACCTGCTAAGTCAGTGTATACCAACTCTAGGGCCTCACCAGCTTTTGTGTCAGTTTTCCTATTTCTGTTGTTGACAAAGTTCTTTCAGTACAAACATTACAGTCTAATTTGGTATTTCCTGTGAATTTTATACCCTCAGCCACTTCAGGTAATTTCAACACATCACTAACATTACAATGTCCCATGATCTCATGCAATGTTTTAACATCACAAGTTAGACTCACTTTGTCCTTGGACATCATATCAGTAACTGATGCATCAACACATTGTTTGTTGTTATTTACCGTTTTCAGATAGTACAGTCTATCGTGCTCTTCTATGCGGAACACAGCTCCATCTTTGCTTATCAGTTCATTCTGTCCTTCCTGGAAGATCAAATTGGCCCCATCTGTTGTAGCAACTTGAACGGAGATGATGCTCTGTGGGTATGATGGTATGAACAAGGCCTTCTTTAGAGTGATCTTGATGCATTTCCCTTCCACGTCCAGTAGTATCACCTTTGCGTTGCCCCGCTTTAATGCAACGTTGTTCATCCCGGCTCTATCCGCTAGCTCCAAATAGTGTAATTTTGGGTCGAAACTCTCATCAAATCTCGTGAAATCGTTCTTCTCTGTTAAGATGTGGGATGTTGCTCCACAGTCTACCATTAGTCAATTTTGTGTAATATTGTCTGGAAGAAATGTTTGACTGACTTTGAACACAAATGTTTGTTCTTTCTCATGCTCCTCTTGTTTTTCCTCAGCCTGTTTTGCTTCATCTTTGTGACCGTCCCTTCTCCGGCGGCATGTCTCATCACTGTGTGTTGAACTTCTATGGTAGTTGCACCACTTAGATACGCCTTTTTGGCGGCAATCGTGCGATATATGACCGCGATTTCCACATCCGTAGCAGGTCACGGATGCCATGTGCACTTTCATCACATTGTCAGATTTGGGTTTATCATCAAATTTTTCTGTCTCTTCATAGCTTCTTAGTTTGCTTTTGAACTGGATAAAAGTCAATTCTTCACTATTCTGTGTAGTATGGATAGTGAAAGGTTTGTAGGAATCTGGCAGACCCTTTAGGATCATAGCTATTATCAAACCATCACTTATTACTGCTTTTGCGTTTATTAGCGAAGTCACTGCTTTCTCAGCTCGGATAATGTAGTCTGTTAACGTCTCGTCAGATTCCTTCTTTAACAAAGTTAGTTCAGTGTATAGGGCGATAATTCTAGGTTTACCTTGACTAGCGTAGTGATTTCGAAGTATTTGCAGAGCTTTCCTGCCGTCATCAGTCGCCTCTCGCATCATCGGTGACAAGCTTTTATCATCGAGAAATTGAATTAATTTAGCGTAGCACTCCTCGTTTGTTTACTCGTCTACAGTATATCCCCGGTAGACAGTATGGTTTCTTTTAAACCCATTATTCTCAAATGGCCAAGAAATTTTACTTCCCATAGTTCGTAGTTGTTTTCGTCTCCGTCGAAAACTAGCCTCTGCCATCTTCCTCCTGTAGCACTGGCGCGCCTGGGCCCATAACCTGTAGGGTTTTATTTCTATCCGTCATGTCTATGTGCAATATGTTGTTGTCATCCATCCATGAAAGAATAATCCAGATATAACTTCTTAATATTATTTATTTGTTCGCTTTCATCACAACGCACTGGTAAAACATCAATTTAAATGATTAATGAGAACATATAACTCAACAGAAACAAATAATTTGGCATACAGAAAAGCAATCACACATATTAATCTAGTTTTACTCTGAATTGGGATGACGCTAAAGTCATCATATAATCTAAGCTCTTAAACATTCAACTTTATTATTATTTATAAAGACAATAGATTTTTTTATGTGTTACTCTATCCTGGAATGGACATCTATCAGAAAATCCACGCCATCACTTGCATTTTGGCTGGTGTGGCTGGTGGAGTACTGTGCTTGTTTATACTGCCAGTTGTTTCACTTGTTATAGTATAACTATGGTCCAGGTTGTCCATCAAACTGAAATAAATAACTGAATAAATGATCTAAAATCCTTATTTGAACACTTATTTTACATTTATTTTAAAGTAAACAAATTGGACTTAACCTTAATTTAAAAATGACTACTATGGGTCGAATGGAAAGCAGTGAAATGTGCTGCTGCACAGAGAGCTATCTTGCCGGAAACTCCAACTGCGAAACTTGTCACACGAGCTTGCATTTTCAATCTGTCGCATTAGCATGAATATAAATGGAAGTCTATGGGGAGAAAAGTGCAGTGTAATTACAGCTTTTTACTCCATGTAAATTTTCACTAATCATTCATTCATTAATTTTCCTTCGGCTTAGTCCCCTTATTCATCAGGGGTCGCCACAGTGGAATGAGCTGTCAACTTGTCTACCATAATTCACAGCTACAAGTCAGTATTGGAAAACACCTATACACAGTCATTCACACACACTCACACTACGGCCAATTAAGTTTATTTAAATCACCTATAGCGCATGTCTTTAGACTGTGAGGGAAACCAGAACACCTGGAGGAAACCCACACCAACTCGGGGAGAACAAGCAAACTCCACACAGAAATGCCTACTAACCCAGCGGGGATTCAAACTTTTTTACTGTGAGGTGACAGTGCTAACCACCGAGCCACTGTGTCGCCCACCAGAATCATATGATTCCAAACAGGTTATTGCTGGGTAAAAAGGGCCATTAAAAAAGAACAGTAAATGCTGAAATAGAGGTAAAATATGTAATGTTTTCAGCAGTAATGAAAATCCTTCTATAGTTAAGTTAAAATTCAGGCAAATGCCTGCACTTTTTTAAGTTTTAAAAAGTGCAAGTGTGTCAGAAATATTTTTAAACATAATTTTGATTATCTTTTGAGATTAGAGCTCTGACATGGCTATTTATTTTTAAGTTAAGATGTTTGTGAACTGTACATTATTTAATATTAAATGATAGTATGTGTTTTAGCAAGCGAACAAACAAACACAAAGAGTGAGTTACTTTTCTCCACAGGTCAAAGTTTTGGTGAAGATTTTCAGTTTCCTGAACTGACTAATGGGGCAGTAGGAGGAAGTGTAAAGTTTACACCTAATAACTTACCATCAGAGATTGATACAGTTACCTGGCAATTTGGACAAACTTTTATATTGTCTGGAAACCCTGATACAGCCTCAATAGTCTCAGCATATAAAAACAGATCCAGTTTTGACAAAAACACTCTTGCTCTGGAGCTCTGGAACCTAAAACTGGAGGATGCTGGACCATACAGTCTGACTGTTATTAGTAATGGAAATCAACATAGAGGAGAAACTTCACTACAGGTGTTCGGTGAGTGTGTTGCTATATTTGATCACATACAGTATTCATGTTAATTGGCCTAATGGTATTGAAATTAAATCTACATCATGTCGTAAACAAATGCATGCATCTAGTCAGAAAACAGATTTTAAATATTTATGTACTACAGTACTGTATAGTTCAATGTAAAACCCAATAGTTGAATTTACCAATGTGTTTGATGAAAAATACAGACTGTGGAATGTCTTTTTAACAGAAATATTCTGTAGATTAAATTTATGAATGTAAAATGTGTAAAAACAGTAGATTACTGGCAACCACAGCTGCCGGTATTTTTCCATAAAATCAAGAAATAAAAAAACAAACAAACAGCAAAACGTTTTTTGTGTCACCATTGTGGAAGATAGTAGCGTCTGTGTTTAAGATGAACTGACAGTATTTAATGTTATGCTGCATCGTCTTTTGTTTAAATATAGCTGTGTAGTTACTAATGCAGAGAAAATCTGTTAGTTAATTGCAACCACTCATTAACGCATTGCATCTAGTGACTTTACATTTTTGTGCATTAAGCTACAATTTTGTAAACTGAACATTGTATCAGTTCATAAAAAATGGTTATTTTCCATAAATTTAAACAGTTTTATAAAACTTCTGTATTTTTTATAGAAATAAATATCCAACCACAGCTGCTGGTATGTTTTCGGAAATTTAACAGATATTTTACACTATAAGAGTTTGCTAATTAATACTCTCAGTGTTGATAATGTTAACACTTTCAAAAGTGTTATTAAAACATTTTTATAGTGGTTCCCATATAAACTCTGAGGGAGTGTTAATTTTAACTCTAATGTAGTTAAATCTACTAAATCTAAAATTTGCAGTGTAAATGAGTGTAATAAACTTAACATTTACTAGAAGTTATTTCTACTCATTTGAAAAGAGTTTTGACGTCAGTGTTGAAGTTAATGAGTTAATTGATTAAGTAAGTGTCGATTGAGCATTAATGATAAGCACCTGCTGTTGATCTTATGCAGTTACGTGTTGTGATTTCGCAGGTCAGAGTTCACCAAGCTTGAACTTTGCACTGCAGCAAACTGCAAAACTTGTCACACGAGCTTGCATTTCCGATCTTAAAGCTGCGGTCACACTGGAATTTTCTCCCTATAGACTTCCATTCATATTTATGCAAATACATCAGACCTGAAACACAATTGGCTAATGTTTTGGTCACTCTTGAATGCTAGTTTTTCTTTCACTCTAGTGGTAGCATGAAAATGAGTCTACAACCCACACAAGTAGCTTGAGTAGTGCAGTTCATCCAGGATGGCACATCAATGCAAGCTGTGGCAAAAAGGTTTGCTTTGTCTGCCAGCGTTGTTTCCAGAGTATAGAGGTGCTACCAGAAGACAGGCCAGTACATCAGAAGACGTGAAGGAGGTCATAGGATGGCAACAACCCAGCAGCAGGGCCATCACCTCCACCTTTGTGCAAGAAGGAACCGAAGGAGCACTGCCAGAGCCCTGCAAAATTACCTCCAGCAGGCCACAAATGTGCATGCAATAATTTTTGTGTAATTTTGCTTCCTGCACATTTAACTATTTAAAGGACAGATTATTTAATAATAATATTTCAATAGTTTAGATTTATGATGTGTTATTTTAGTGTTCTTTATTTATTAGCAGTGTATATGACAAGACAATATTTGTGTAAACTTGAGTAAACTGAGCCAGCAAAAAAACTATGCATGGGACACAACCAGTTTTCCCCCTTATGTTTCGTGCTAGAATGATGATTTTGTGGTGGCCCAGATCTCCATTTCAAATGGACCACAACTAAAGATTTTAATCTAATTTCTTTGTTCTTTATCTTTGGCCAACACAGAAACGATATATCATGTCACTGTTACTGGTCCACAAACTGAAGCATTAATCGAGGGTGAATCATCTGCCAACTTCACCTCTGAGGGAAGCGGAGGCACCATCACCTCTGTGCAGTGGATGAAAGACAACAGTCCTCTGTCTCCTAATAGCAGAATCATCTTTTCTTCTGATAACAGATCAGTGTCAATCAGTCCAGTGCAGAGATCAGACACTGGAGAATATCTCTGTATATACAGTAACCCTGTCAGCTCTGCAAGTAACTCACAACCCCTGATCATCAATTGTGAGTGTGAAACATTTCAACATCAGATCTGATAAAATCTAGTCATTCTTCAGTTCTCAGTTTGTTCCTCTAACAGTGAGTCTCTTGTCTGTGTTGTAGATGGACCAGATGATGTTTCTATTACAGGTCCAGATGTGGTGGATTTAGAGGTTCAAGTGTCTCTGTCTTGCTCTGCAAAGTCTGAACCTTCTGCTTCATTCAACTGGACGTTTAATGGGTCAGACACTGGTGTGAATACAGACAATTTCACCATTGAAAAGACAGACTTCACAGACAGTGGAGAATACATCTGTACAGCCTATAATAAAGTCACAAAGAGAAAAGATTTGAAAATACATCCTTTACAAGTTCAAGGTAAACAGATAAAGATTACTAATCTACTATTTAATAAAAACTATCACAGTAAAATCCTCAAAGTAAAATTTACTCAGTTCAGAGAACATTTGGTCCCTCTCTAAATTGAGCAAAATTTACTCAGCAGCAGAGTTAAAGTTAATGAGACAATGATGGGGTTAATTAAGTGATGATTGAGCACTGATGATGAACACCTGCTGTTATTAAGCAGAAACAGAGAAGAAAAACACAAAACTACATCTACCTTCAGTCACAGCCGTAGATTAAATAAACTGAAATAAAACAGATCAAATCTCTCAAAATCTCAGCAAAGGATCAATAAATAACTCCACAAACAGCAGCTTTACTTATTAACAACCTGTTTGGCCTTATTTCTGCCACACTTTACAAAATTCCATATAGTGATAATATTAAGAATTTACTTTTTTTTTTTTTTTACAATAATAATAATAATAAAAAAAACACCACTTTTTGTGTTTAAGCTGTCACCATTGAGGAGAACAGTAGCTGCTTTACTTGGACTCTGACTCGATTTCTCTTTGTTTGCCAAATAGTGTATTGTGGCAAATAGTGTATAAAGAGAGCAGTTGTACTCTAGATAATTGACTCTGTGGTGATTTAGTCACTGGTCAAAACAGTAAAATTGGCTTTGACCTATTAAGTTTAAATAATGTCCTATCACAAAAAGAGCACTTTATTAAGAAAAATTTAACTCACCAATACTTATATCAGATCATAAAACACATTGAAAATCTGAAGCACTTAAAACACATAGACATAAAGAATTAGAGTGTGCTTCTCAACTATGGTGATTTTTTCTCCCAACAGTGCATGCATGGAACTATGAATGAACACTGTATGATTCTCTTAACATGCACTGCAGCCAAAAATAAATAAAAATCTCTAACCACTGTTGAGATAGATATGCTGATTATTTATGTCTGTGTTTTTAAAGTGATTCAGATGCTCAATGTGTTTAATATAACACCACAGCTGAGGTCCATTCTCTCAAAAAACACTGAATTTTGTTTCGTATATGATAAACCATCATTTAAACATAATTTGCAAAGTCTAACAAATTCTTATAAAGTTACTCTCATCAAGAGTAAGAATTAATACAGGATCAGTCAACTTGATTACATTTGCTCTCTTTATACTTGTAATAGCAAGCAAAGAAAAATTACTTTTAGAAATCGAGTCCAAGTAAATTAACCACTTTTCTCCACGATGGTGACATCAGGGGAATAAAAACATGTTTTATTTATTTATTTATTTATTTATTTTTTATTTTTTGTAAAATGTAAATAACTAAAATGGTTATTTCTCAATAAATCTTATATGGACTTTTGTGAACATCTGACAGAAATAAAATCAATCAGGTAAGCAATGAGCGAAGCTGCTGCTGCTTCTCTTCTGTTTCTGCTTAATAACAGCAGGTGTTCATCATCAGTGCTCAATCATCACTTAATTAACCCCATCATTGTCTCATTAACTTTAACTCTGCTGCTGAGTAAATTTTACTCAATTTAGAGAGGGACCAAATGTTCTCTGAACTGAGTAAATTTTACTCTGAGAATTTTAATGTGAGTGCTATACAATACAAAACATTTCACATCTGGTGGTTACGCACTTATATACATTGGACAGTTAACAGATAAGAAAACATGATGACAAAAGAAGAGATTAAGCAAAAAAAAAAAATCTATATACACATATATATATATATATATATATATATATATATATATATATATATATATATATATATATATATATATATTACAGCAACTGTAATGCATCCACATAATCTGCAGATTTGTGAATAATAAATCACCTAAACATTCTCAAAAAATAATTGTATTTTGTAGTTTTAAAATTGCATGTTTAAAAATCATATACTGTTTAATATATACAGCCCTTGTGACATTTTATATTACTTTAGATACGCAACATAAACGTGCATTTATTGTTTGTTACAGCATAGCATTTGGAATAAAATGCACCATTTACAAAAACATTTCAAAATTTATAAAGGTTTAAGTGCATTAGTTTTTTATTGTATACACTATATGATCTGCTGTCTTTCTGTATATTTGTCAGAGGGTGGTGAAGCGGGTTTAGGAGGAGGACTGTCAGCGGGAGCAATAGCAGGGATTGTCATTGGAGTTTTAGTGGCAGTTGGAGGCATCTGTGGTCTTATTGTCTACTTAACAAAAACCAACAAAATGTGAGTAAATCAACATATTTCTAAATTATGCAGATTTATTGTAACTTTTCTTAAAAATATCAATGATTATGCAGGGCCAGTTCTACAGTATCAGTACACTATGCTTAACACCAAATACAACACTAGTCTAACAAGCAAACACAAAAGTGAACCCAGATGAGAGTAGAGTAATGGTGTAACCCAGGTTAAAAAAATAAGTTGACTGGATTGATTTATTGTAATATAAGTAGAACAAATGTAATTTGCAATAATTATACTTTTAACATAAAAAATATCATTAAAATGTACAAATATAAAACACCTCCTATGATAACACTTAAAATAATTCATGATAATGGGTTTAAATTCATTTTTAATATGTTTGTTACATTTAGTATTAAAATATCTACATTTGAGATTTTTAAAGATATACTTTAAATTCACCTAATCAAAGCAGTACACTGTAAGTACACTGTGAGTGTAGTTAACTCAAACTTTACTGGAAGTTAATTCCACTAATTTAAAAAGAGTTTTGAACTCAGTGTTAAAGTGAATGAGTTAATTAAGTGATTAATTACATGTTGATTGAGCATTAATGATGAACACCAGCTGTTAGCTAGCAGAATCACTGAAGACTTAAGCTGCGGTCACACTGGACTTTTCTCCCTATAGACATCCATTCGCACAAGAATGCGTCAGACTGGAAATGCAAGGTTGTGCGTCAAGTTTCGCAGATCATTGCATTGGAAAGTTCAAGCTTGGTGAATTCTGACCTGCGAAATCGCATCACTTGATGGTGTAAGACTAATTGGGGATCAAAACATGACCTCTCTGGACAGGAATTTAAAACATGGACCAATCACTCAACAGAATTTCGCACGATCAAACTTTACATTAACAAAGCGAGTGATTGTAAGAATTCAGTTGGCCGGCCCTGGCCCGGTTGGAAGAGGTGTGCCTAAGCGCAGTTCACTTGGGCTTTGGCCCGAAACTGAAAGCGAGACATGTCTTTTAAGAGACTGTTTCATATGCATTTCTATATTATTCTTACTGTTCAATGAACGCAAGCTGTCATAGATTATTAAAGACGCAAACCCCTCACTGCACGAAAACTCCGCACCATCAGCAAACCTCCTAATACATGCAGAACGAGGACTTTATGATTGTTTATGAGCGTCAAAACAAGCCGATCTCTTATCAGTTATTAGTCAAATATCTGTTATCAGTCAAATATTTGACTGCGTGTCACTGCATATCAAATGACTTAAACGATGATAAAACTGAAGAAATCTCCACTGTGCTGAGCAAGCTGCGCTTCTGACCAGCGCATCATCGATGACGTAAGTGTGCCCAGGCCCGAATGTAATGTGAGTGCGGGCCGTTGGGGAAGACGGGAGGAGGGGACAAACATGCTTTGGCCTGGTTCAAGGCAACTGTACAAAGTGAGATTACGCCCTACAGCTTTGCTTATTACTAATTGTCTTGACTGTCAGGCGTCAACAAAAGCCCTTAGCAATGTTCACTGAAAATCATTTTATTAGACATCACCGTTGATGAAAACAGTGATTGCTTTTAAGGAGTTTTGGACTTCATTTATCAGATTAGGTTCTCTTTGGCTTTTGTCACTAATGTTATGGCGAATGAACTGAGAAATAATATCATCTTGTGTAACTTAGTTATTGTTAGACTATAATAACTTAATATTGTGATCTAAATTAATTGCTTATTAATATGATAACAAAACATTGAATATGAAGTGTTGGTTAAAGTAGAACAACTCTTGATTTTTTTTAATGCACAATAGAGAAATTTGTCTTCTGTATGTGCTCAATAATAACCAAATGCTTAGAGCAAGATATCACAAAGACCTGATTATTCATGTTGGCTGATCTAACTACCAAACTTTCTCTTTTGTGTTTATTATCTTTATTTTTAGACCAAAGAATTATAAACAGTGATCAAAGACAGGCTATGATTTGCAATTTTTAACTAAACCATTGTCGAGAGGTGTTATGCTTACAGGACATTTCGCAATTGTATTATAAGTGTTGTGTATTTAGGCTTAAATAGTGAACCGCTGCAAATTTTTATCATACATTTATTTCTATGACAAGTGTTTGGGATTAAGTTTACTATTGGCTTTTCCTTATTTATTGTTTTCTAGCAATACCATACAGCACTAATCATTAAAGAGGCACTTGTTCTTTTAATTTTACAGCAGTTTGTATGGAGCCACAATGACATTAAAAAATTATTTTAGCAAAACAACAATATATTAACTTTCTATTGATGGGAAAAAATATGGTGACCAACTATTTATAACAAAATGTTTGTCTTTTTGCTACAGCCCAAAACTAAGTTATCAATCAAAAGGAAACACAAGTGGAGGTATGTCTATTATTTTCTCCTAATATTAGGATGAGAGTGATCAAACTGATTCAAAACATTACATAGACTTATTATAATAACCATATTGTAAATTTCATATAATATATTTGTGTTTCTTTGTTTAAACAGCTCAAAGAGGACAAGATGCTGTGAGTTACCTGTTGTTAATTTTCTTCTCAACAAGCAATTTTGTCTTTTATTAGATAAAACCTAATTTAAAACTGTTAATCTGATATTAAATTACACATTACAAAACATACAGGTAAAGCATTTTTTTCCGCAGTATATTACATTTGATTTACTTCTTCACTCTCTTCTGTCTCTTGAATCTTTTATATCATTAAAGTAAGCCTGTTTATGACTTTTTATAGCAGGACAAATGAGTTTATGTTACCATCAGCTCAAATGGACTTTAATCTTTCACATATTACTCCACAAAGACATGCTATGAAAGTGGAAACTATAGATATCAGCATATAATCAGTCATTATGATTATTATAATAGTTAGATTTTGTTTTTATCAGTTCAAATAATAAATTCACATTTTCACAACAACATCGTGTCTGAAATTTTGATTATAATATAAGAAAAACATTTAATTATCTGTAGGAGCTGAACTATGCAGACATCAGCCATTTTCAGAAGAACAGTGGAGAGAGAGTGGTTTTGGGAGATGTGAATGAACCGAGAACGGAGTATGCAGAAGTACGGCATGGATCAAAGTTGAGGGCTCCTCCACCTCCATATGGAAGTCAGGTTAGTTGTTTCAATATAATAAATGTAGAACAACCATATGTGCACTTTGGCTGCAGTAAAATTTTACTGCATCACAGAATAGCGTAACTGCTATTTATTCTGTCCTACAGCCACGCAATAAAACTATAAGTCCTTTGGGTGGTTTCTTTAATGACATGTTTGTAAAATGTCTCTACTCAGGTATCAAACCCTCCTCCTGTGCGCAGGTGAGGAAGCGAAGACACTGAAACATCTACTGCACTGAGTCTTCCTGCACATTGCACATTTCACACACTTTGTGTTCTATTTAATTTTGTTTATTACTCTGGATGTAGTTGTGTAAATGAAATGTAAATCATTATTTAATTATGGTTTGTAAAGATTCAACCTTGTCATTTTCCACAAGTAAGAAACAGGAAGGGTTGTAACCTTTTGCTTTAACCGCTATTGCTTAGTGCTATGTACTTAACATTTTGAAACAATTCTCCAACATTTATCTGATAAGCATTGATGTTATTTTGAAATCTACAGTGTAAAAGGAAGATGATGAACACAAACTGTTGTTACAACATATCACCTACTTTAGTAACAGTAGATGAGGTATCAACAAAATTATAAACCTTATAGAATTATCTATGAATTCTGCGGATGCATTTATTTTCACTAAAATTAACTGGAAAAAAAACAGCCTTTCACTGTCCAAGCTTGTTGCAAGCCTTCCCCACTCAGAGATGATATTATTTTTTGTTGTTATATATTAATGGAAATTTTGAACCAAGTTTTAAATACTGATCAGTTGATTAAGATGAAACTGAATATGTCAGTGTACATACATAGAGCTGAAACCACAATGAAACTCAGGAACAAAATGTTGATTTTTCAAATCTCTCAAATCTGTTTTTTGTCCTATAAATTCTTTATATTTTTACACAGAGACTCACAACCTCTACTGTCACCTCAAGAGGATGGTGCTCATGTATGATTTCATCCCTGTACCCCATTTATGAGCACATAAAATTACTGTATTACAACCTACACCTTGATACAACCGTTCCTGAGACCTCATTTATAAAATGTTGCCTAAAAATCCTTCATTTGATTTAAGATCTCTTCTCGAATGTGCAAAAATGGTTTAGATAAACACAAGTACACTCTCAGAAATAAAGGTACGTGAGCTGTCACTGGAGTGGTACCTTTTCAGAAGGTACAAATTTGTACCTTAAAGGTGCAGTAGGTGATCTGCCAAAATGCTAATCACTTAGCATATTATCTTTGGACAGCAGAGGGGGACAGTGTTTCAAAGCCACGCCTCCTGAAATCACGAACACACGCACCACGACATGACAGCAGACAACCCGATAGTTCATGTCATTCACCAGTTAGAAATGTAGTTAGTGTTTGGCCGGTGGCGTGCAGAAATTTTATTATTACTAAGCCACACTTACATGCTATTTTAGAGCGAATATTCAGAGAAGCGTGGTAAACAGTATAGGGAGGCTGTCATTGTTAAAAAAATGAACCAATGTGAATATAAAAGCAATTTCACCTGAGTAAAGCAGAAAAACACTATTTACTGATTCTTTGTTGTTAAACTAAATATAATTACCGATGCTATCAAACGTCCCTTATGAAACTGAAAATAGTCACATCAATCTTTCACCGGGAGATTTCAGTGGCTGAACAACACATCTGTGCATATACCCCATCCATAACACAAAAACACTCTACATCAACTCTGCGGGACTAAAAGAGTTTGAAACATAACATAACAGAAATACTTCAGTCATGGTGTTGTCCTTCCTCCAGTGTGCAAAAGTAACTCCAATACTTATTCAGGATTTTAAAAAGTTTCAATCCAGCATTTTATTTTTACGGCGACTGTGTCCTGATCGCGGCGCTCATCTAGGCGGGCACACGCTAATATCGGATATGCGTGAACAGAGATGCGCAAAAGACAGTTTGAGCTACTTATCAGAATTATGGGTGCTGTCTGCCCGACAATATGTAATTGGATGAACATTTTTTAGTTTCATGCCTTAACCAGACTATAAAAATACATCTAAACACATTTAGATTATTTACTGTAAGCATTCCTATTGGACTGTAAAGAGACTTTCAACCAGCACAACAAAAAATGTTTCTGAAGACAATCACCTATACTGCACCTTTGAAGGTCCATATTAATTCCTCAAGGGTACATATTTGTACCTAAAAAGTACACAAAATTTTAAGTACTAATATATACATTTTTGAGGTATGAATTCTTTTGAAAAGGTACTACCCCAGTGACCGCTTGTATGCACAAAAATACATGAGTATGCCAGAGGTAAAATCCAAATGAGCTTGAAATTTTGTTAAGCAAATGGTTTTAATCTCAAACTCAGAACCAGCATGTGCAGTTTTATAATACTACAAGTTTATAATACAAAATCACTAAAATACTACAAAATCACTAAAAACAGGAGAGGGTACAAAGATATCAAATTACATACATATATATTACACATTTTCCAATTTTAGTTATTAACAAGAGTTATTAAATGCACTTTTACTACAGGAAATGCAATGTTAAAGGAGGAGCATATATTAACTGTTTTAAGTGCTTTTTTATTTTTAGACTTAGAAATCACTTTTATATACATTTGAATCTCTTTTTCTAGCACCACAAAGAAAGGTTTGCTTTTGTCAAACTTTGATTTATGTATACATAATTTACATAATAATAAAATAAAGTTTAATCTCAAACTTACTCAGTGGGTTAGCATGCGAATCCTTTACTTGAGGATAGTGTGCAGCAAGAATTGCTCACCATAATGTCTGGCTAGATACTTCATTAAGTTTTAACTTGATTCATGATCAGTAAAATAGTATAAATGGAATGAATGTATATGCCCCATGTTGTTGCTACATTTTAATTGTTTTCTTTTCTATTTATAAACAATGAATAACCTAATCAGCAAAGTCGAATTAGCGAAGTCTCCATTTAATGGAATTTTAGGAACTTGGCTTTATAGATCATCCGGTTACTTTTTTATATAAATATTAAGAATTCATATGTACTACAGTACTTAGCTAATATACTGTTTTGCACACACAATATGTCAGGGATGTATGTGATATTGTATGCAGCATTAGGTAAATGTGGGGTACTTGTTTAAAAACAAACTGTTGAAATGGAATTTAGCATATACACACTTTAGGATTATATTTGAGCATACACGTTTTATAAATGAAGTCCCTGGTCTCCCTTCTAGCATATTTTTATGACACACAGCTTCATAAAATATCCATCATTTGTTCTACATAAACCACAAGCTTTTAATTGTAACCTGTTCCGCACTGGACAATGTTCATTATCAGATCATTCAGAATGAAACTGCAACAAATGTGGACACAGCATGTATATTAAATGTATTAAATATTATCTGCATCCTGATGTACTCTTTGTCTTATTTCTCTTATTTTCAGCATTTCAAAATCAAATGTAATAGTTCATTCTTATCTTTAGACAATTTGTTTACCGAATAATGTGTAATATTAATAGACAAGAGATTACATATACTTTACATCAAACAGTTTCTCGGAAATCATCAGATTGATTTTAATTTTTTCCTTCCCGCATGAGCAAATAAAAGAAGATAAAGGTGTGATAGCTGGTAATGAAAAATAGTTAAATTCATGACTAAAATCACCTTTAGACCTGAACACACATCATCACTCAGGGAGAAGAAATGAGGAAGCAGCATTCTGTTCTGGTCGTAAACAGTGTGTTTTTCTGGACAATTTAATGTGGATGTCGGTTCTATTATCTGATTGTTATTTATGATTTATGTAGACTTTTGTCATAAGAATTTAATTTGCTCTAAATAAAGAGTATATTTATTGTTCTCTCCAGCTTCTGCTTCTTCTTATTTTTTCAAGTCGTTTGTATATTTATTAGGTCACATACTGTATTTTTTTCCTCATGGTGTGATAACACAGAACCACAGCTGATAAGCTTTTATCAAGGCAGATGGAATGAGTTAAACTTTAACTTTATTGGTGGGTTTTATTATGGCAAGTGACCTAAAAACAATGAACACAATGGTGAAAAATATACATAATACTTATTCGTTTTTAATGAGTCTATGTTTCACATTAAGATAAATAAGGAAGGAAAAAAGCTTGATTAAGAAAGTAATTTTCATATAAGGACATCGTAAACGTTTTTCAAATTCTTTAATCGCAAAAGAAGGGAAATGTTGACATATGCACTGACTTCACATTTGCTTCTTCCTCTTTTTCCCCCATGAGAAATATATAAAAGAATCTTCCTTCCTTTAACTATGAAGACTGTTCATTTTACATCCTCATCATTTCTTCTAAATGTATTGCTATCTTTTAAGGAACTTGCATTCCCTGTGTCTGCACTAGCCTATAAGCATAGATAAACAACAATGATGTGATTATTTTATAGTTCCTATAAATCAAACTGAAAGGGTGTTGTTTAACTGCTGTTGCCCTGGTACAAGGACACAGACAAATTGCTTGAATCAGAGATTATTTTGAGTCTTTGAACTGCAGGACAGATTCTCCTCTGCTGCCCTCTGTTGTTTATTAAGAATATGTTTTTACTGGCGACTGCACGTGTACTGAATACAACAAACATTTTCTATTAAAGTTCACCTGTTGCCTTTAAAGACAAAACATTTTAAACATAAAAAACAATTACCACCACAATAATTCCAATATAAATCAACCTTTAGTGCTATTTTAAATAAAGAAAGCTTTGTTAGGATATTATTTAAATTATATCACAAACAGGGGTGGACTCAATAAGCGAGGTTAGCTGCCGCTTAGGGCACCAGGGAAAAAAGGGGCCGCGACCAATGCCAAGAAGCCTATATTAATCATATAGCTCATTTATAAATTTGCTATCATATGTAAAATCTGTCTATAACCATTAGAGTTTAGCGATATTACTTCTTTTCAAAATCAGTGGCCCCCATGAAGAGTGGAACGTTCCTTCCGTACAGCACATGCAAATAATAAAATTTAATCACAAATATGGCTAATGAACTGTACATAGTTTGAGCAGCTTATTATTTGTTAATTTATTGTATTTAATTGTACATTAAAAATATAAAGGTTCCACTTAAAATGTATTTTAACATGCAGTTTATTCTAATCTACAGAAATGTATATATATATATATATATATATATATATAGGAAGAGAGTGTTTTGAGTTTCAATGTTAGGACCATATACCTGGTATTGCTTAGGGCCCCTAAATTCACCCCTGATCACAAAGTCTTTAGAAGCAAGTTGCAACACTGTGAATTTATGTGTTCAATCAAGTCAATACAACATTTTTTTATTTAATTAAATATTCAAGACTGGCTTGTCAGTTTAATCTGTTAAAATTACTTTAACAGTTGACTTGGTTGAACCAAAATGTAAGACAGCAACTACACTTTAAAAAATTGCTGCTGCCCATTTTTTTTCCCCCAAAGTTGAATCAAATTAATTTTAAAAGTCACTTCAACTTACAATACTTAAGCAGACATAAAACAATTTCATTTCAATTTACATAACCTAAAAAACAAAGTTGAATTTTGAAATATGTTTTAAAAAGCATGCTGTCTTGCTTCTGATCCTTCTGATATCAATATCTGTCTTTCTATCATTTGAATATTATGACACTGTGATGGTATCTAATTCCATTTCTAAACATAGACTTAATAAGTCTATGTACACAGTCGAAGTCAGAATTATTAAATCCCGTGAATTATTAGCGCCCCTGTTTATTTTTTCCCTCAATTTCTGTTTAACAGAGAGAATATTTTCTTAACACATTTCTAAACATAATAGTTTTAATAACTCATCTCTAATAACTGATTTATTTGATCTTTGTCATGATGACAGTAAATAATATTTGACTGATATTTTTCAAAACACTTCTATACAGCGTAAAGTGACATTCAAAGGCTTAACTAAGTTAATCTGGTTAACTAGGCAGGTTAGGGTAATTAGGCAAGTTATTGTATAACGATGGTTTGTTCTGCAGTCAGAAACAAATATAGCTTAAAGGGGCTAATAATTTTGACCTTAAAATGGTTTTTAAAAAATTAAAAACTGATTTTATTCTATCAGAAATAAAACAAATAAAACTTTCTCCAGAAGAAAAAAATATTATCAGACACACTACA